TGCCTTGGCAGGGGGAGCTCCTCCTTTTCCCTCCTGGGGCTGGGGGTTGATGCTGAAACAGCCAGAATTCCTGCAATCCCTGTGTTTTCCCCTCTCCCAGGGCGTCCATCCAACATGTACTTCCAAACCCACGACCAGATTGGGATGATCAGTGCTGGCCCCAGCCACGTCACTGCCATGAACATTCCCATCCCCTTCAACCTCGTCATGCCCCCGATGCCCCCCCCGGGGTACTTCGGCCAGGCCAACGGCCCCGCTGCAGGTAAGGGGCAAAAACACCCAAAAAGCCACTTGGGGGAGGGATTAAATTCCCTAAAAAGTGTGTTGGTAGCTGTCAGAGTTCTCACTGCTGGGTGGGGTGGGCTCTCTTCCAGGCCGTGGGGCTCCCAAAGGGAAGACGGGCCGCGGCGGGCGGCAGAAAAACCGATTTGGGATTCCTGGCACGAGCCAGTCCAACCTCCCCAACAGCCAGGCCAGCCAGGACGTGGTGTCCCAGCCCTTCTCCCAGGGCCCCCTGACCCAGGGCTACATCTCCATGAGCCAGCCCTCCCAGATGAGTCAGCCTGGGCTCTCCCAACCGGAATTATCCCAGGTGAGTGTGGATTTTGGGAGCTTTTCCTGGGGTTTGTGTTGGTGATCCGTGCCTGCACCTTCTCCCTCCTGAGAGAAACGAAACTGAAACTGCTCTCAGTGACTCAGCTGCAGCATTTACAGCCTGCACTGTTGGGGGCATGAAAGTGAAATGTTGCTTGAGCTGATAAACGGCTCAAAACCCCCTGAATTTAGGGAAATCCTGCACCAAAAAAAGCAGATTTAAAAAACCCAAACGCTCTCAGCTTCATGATTAACCTGGTTCTGCCTTGCACTTGAGCTGGACACTGATGTTGAGGCTTCCCTCACCTCTCCCCTTGCAGGACAGTTACCTTGGTGATGAGTTTAAATCCCAGATTGACGTGGCGCTGTCACAGGACTCAACTTACCAGGGAGAACGAGCATATCAACATGGTGGAGTGACGGGACTGTCACAGTATTAGAGTGTAAGGACCCTGTCCCCATCCCCTGAGCTAAACTGTCCCCTCCTCTGAGCTGAGCTGTCCCCATCCCCTGATCTAAGCTGTCCCCTCCCTGATTTAAATTGTCCCCTCCCCCTGGTTTAAGTTGTCCCCTCCCTGATTTAAGTTGTCCCCTCCCCAGTTTGAGCTGTCCCCTCCCCCTGGTTTAGCTGTCCCCTCTCTGGTTCAGCTGTCCCCTCCCCAGTTTGAGCTGTCCCCTCCCCCGGTTTGAGCTGTCCCCTCCCCCGGTTTAAGCTGTCCCCTCCCTGATTTAAGCTGTCCCCACCCCAGTTTGAGCTGTCCCCTCCCCGGTTTAAGCTGTCCCCTCCCTGGTTCAGCTGTCCCCTCCCCGGTTTAAGCCTGACTGAGTGAGCAGGGCCTCTCCTAACTCATCTCTGCTTCTGCCCCCAGGTTGAGGAAGAAGAGCTAAGCTTATGTGGAGCTTAGTTCATCAGCATTTTATTCTGGGTAATAAAAAAAATAAAATAAAATGGATACCTGTTTTCCACTGCTAAAACTGAAGCACCACTGTGTGAGAGCAACAGGAGAAAGAAACCAACCAACGGAGAGGAGAGAGAGAGAGAGGAGCACGCGAGAGAGCCACTGCTGGAGCTCACTGGGACAAGGAGACTGACAAGGAGAGGAGACAGAGCCCTGGAGGACTGGCTCACGGCACGGAACTCACCCGGCAGGAGCGCTCAGCTGAGCCCCTGCTGCCCCAGTCAGCCCAGCTCCGGAGAAGGGCCTTAACAAAGCAGGTTTCACTTCATTCCATACTTCTCTTTGCGAGCAGGGCATGAACTTTTCAGAGCAGATGGGGAGAGGAAAACCCTCATCTCAGAGTTGGGCTCGTTTTGTGAGGGGTACTAAAAATATTTTAGCAGGAAGTTGTTTACATTTTAGAAGCAGAGTATCTGAGAGAAGGGGGAAAAAAAAAAGAGAGAGAAAGAGCAAGTCCCTGCCTGGGTGACAGCCAGCCAAGCAGAAATCCAGCTGCTGCTCAACTCTGAGGTGCAGGTTTTGTTGTCCAACACTGGCTCTGAAATTTGTTGTCATCGTGTCGCCCACATTCTGAACGAGGTGGTTTTAAAGAGATTCTTTCAAAAAGAGCACTGAATTTTTTAAGAAGTTTTGTCTCTGAATTCTTAGTGGTGGACCTGGGAGATTTAGATCCTTGTTCTGAGAAGCTTATATTACAAAAAAACCTTAAAAAAAAAACCAAAAAACCAAAAAAATACGTTTCAAACAAAAATTAGAGCACCATCCTTGAGAACTTTCAGTGTGATTTCAAGTTGCAGCAATCAGCCTCTTCTTCCTGCATGGGATAGGTTTAGAGTGAGAGGAGCCTGCGTGCTCGAGCAGGAGGGTTTCAAAGTGTTTTCTGTATGCTTTAATTGGCAACTGTCTGGACTCTACTCTGTGAAAAACAGCCTTTCTGTAAGATGAATTTATGCTTGAAAGGGGACGGGTTCCTGTGCCCTTCGGCCCTGGAGGGAAGGTGCAGCCAGGCCTGCTTTGGTCCCCGCAGCTTTTGGGGAGGAGTAGTGGAAATTGGGGATTATTTTGGATGGAAGGAAAGACTCCATGCCATTGCAGGAGCAGGACGGACAGACGGACAAAGCAGGCAGGTGGTGGAAGGTGGTGGCCTCTGAGAGACAGAGCTGGGTTTAATTTGGGAGAATGGGTCAGGCTTTGGGGTGGCTTCGTGGGTGGCGAAGGCAGGAGAGGAACAGGGTGAGGAGTTGGAGGAGCTTTGCTTCAGCAGCAGAGATCCCAGCTGGGCACCGGGGCTGGGAGAGCCCGCGAGGAGAAGCCTTGCCTGAAACACTCACAGGGAACACTTGGGAGCTTTTCATTTCTGTCCAAACCTTTTCTAGGAACAGAGAGAGAGAATTGATTCCTCCAGCCCCGTTCTAGATCCTGAATTAGAGAAACCTCTACCTCCCAATTGGCCAGCAGCAGCAGAGATTGATCCAGAGCCTGGGAGTTCCTCAGCCTGGAGTTAAGCTTTACACTCAAAGGGCTCCAAGTGTTTCTAGTCCTTTTTTTTGGGGGGGAAAAACTCAAAATACCTCTCATCTGAATGTACTTCAAACAGCTCAAAGCCCACTTTGTACCCGGGGAGGGGGGAAACCCTTTCAGTCCTGTCCTTCCTGGAGATCCCTGCCCTGGATTTGCTGGATTTGCCCCCAGAGCAGCCCTGGCGTGGGACCCCCCAGCCCGGGAGGGACGTGCTCCCCCAGCCCCAGGGGGAGCTGCAGAAACTGCAAAAACCACAAAAAACTCGACTCACAAAACCCATTCTTTTCTCATCCAAAGCCTCCAAAGTTTAGATCCTAAAACAGTGAAAGAATGGAGACACAGGCCACCTTCCTTCCTCGTGAGATGGACTTGTTTTATTTATTAACATTGCCGAAGGGCTTTTTAATTTTTTTTCCTTGGTAGGCAGCGTAGTGGCGTAGACTTTTCGGGTAGGTTTAAGCTGAACCCCTCTGTGCAAAGCTTTCCATGAGTAATGTAGCCCCCTCCTCTCCCCTCACCCTTTATTTCACTGCTGGGAATGCTTGCCTCTGCTTCGTGCTGGTTTTTTCCTTTGTAGCAGTTCAAACTCTTTGAGTTTTACAAATCCAGACATCAGTGCTAGCACGGTGTTAAAACTCTTTTTTTTTTTTTTAATTAATTAATTTTTTTTGGTCTCAGTTTTGTTTTAAAACCTGTTTGTCATCAATAAAAAAAAAAGAAAAAAAAAAAGAATAAACAGCTCTTGCATTCAAGGTGGCCCTTAAGTTTCAATGAGGAAACCATGCAACGTTCATTAAAGCTTTAGTCTGATTGTATAAACTTCAAGTTTATTACTTTTTTTAAACACAAGACTAGTACAAAAGTGGGGGTGTGCATAGCAGAGGGGGTGAGCGACTCAACTGGGAGAACTGGGAATACTGGGAAGGGCCCCCCCTCTCTTCCAGCCCCAGGATTTGGGAAGAGCTCCCAGCCTGGAGGAAACACGAAAATGGCTTTGTCCTGCCAGGCTCAGGGCTGGGGGCTCAAAGCTGGGTCTGGGGGGGTTTAGGCCTGGCCTTGGCACCACCCTGGGCACAGACTCAGGCCAGGCTGAGCCCAGGTCCTGTCCTGGCTGGCACTCCCCCCTGGGTGGCCACAAACCCAGAAATACTTCAAGGTTTTCTTCCTCTGCCCGTCTAAAATCAGAATTAAATGGCTCCTGGAGTTCAGCCCTTTAAACACTGAAACGGAGCAGAGCAGGGCTGGGTGGAAACACCTGGATTTGGGAATGGGAATCCAGCTCAAGCTGCTCCAGGCTGGGTCTGCAGCTCCACATTTTGGGTGTGAAAACAAAAAAAAAAACACCACCCCAAGGCACCCCCAGTGGTGAAACCCTCAGTGCTTCCCCTGGGGGGAGGAGGTGAGAAAACAGCAAAAAACCCAAAGCTGCACCACGGCTTCACAGTTCAAAAATAAAGAGAAAAGAGTTCAAGTCTAACTGGGATTCCTTTTCCGTGTCCCCAGAATCCCCAAAGCCTGGCTCAGGTGGTTTCAGAACATCCCAAAGCCTGGCTTGGATGGTTTCAGAACATCCCAAAGCCTGGCTCAGGTGATTTCAGAAAATCCCAAAGCCTGGCTCGGGTGGTTTCAGAACATCCCAAAGCCTGGCTTGGATGGTTTCAGAACATCCCAAATCCTGGCTCGGGTGGTTTCAGAACATCCCAAAGCCTGGCTCAGGTGGTTTCACACACCCAGGTCCAGCTCAGCTGGGCTGGGCTCCAAAGCTCGGCTCAGCCCCTGCAGTGGAAGGGGAGAGCAGAGCTCAAGGATGGGAAATGGCCCAAATTGGGGTCCCTGCTGCCCCTCAGTGACACCACCAAGGGCCCGGGGCTGCCAGCCGGCACAAAACCCAACAAACCCACCCAAAACAACCCGGAGAAGCAAAAGTGTGCAGAGCTCTGAGCTCTGCCCTTGCCCCTGGCTCCTGCCCCGGGACACCCGGGGACAGCCTGGGCTCATCTGTTTGCAAATGAGGTAAATTAATAAATTAATACTGACTCCCAGCTGGGAGGGCAGAGCCACTGAGCCCAGCATGCCCTGGATTCCCTCAGCCACGTTCCCTGCAGGATCCTGCCCCTGGCACGCGGCTCCCAGCGGATTTCTTAGGTAAAATATCCTTTTTTTAAAAGCAAAATCTCAAATTTTTTGGTAAAATCTCTTTTTTTTTTTTTTTTAAGCAAAACCTCAATTTTTAGGTAAAATTTCCATTTTTTAGGGAAAACCTTCATTTTTTTAGGCAAAACCTCCACTGCATTTGGCCACCCAACACAAGCCCTGTCCCCAAACCATCCCATCACCAACCACACCCTGGAAACAGCTCCCAGAGCACAGAGGAAGCTCCTGCCTGGCTCTGCCTCCCCTGCGAAGGGATTTGCTCACTGCATCCCTGTCCCAGCAGCTGGACCACACCCCAGGGAACCCCCAGCCCCATTTCACCCAGAAAAGTCATTTATGCCCTGAGAAATCTGCAGAGTTCAGCCAAAAACCCCAAAAAGCTGCGAGGGGGGAAATGTGGGATTCACAGCGCGGTGCCAGCGTCCCCCGCCGAGAAGGGACCGAGCACCAGGCTTGGTCATAACCCCACAACCCCCTCCCAGCTAATCCTAAACCAGCACCGACCCTCAGTGCCAGCCTAACCCAGTAGAGAGGGCAGCCCTGAGCTCAGCGGGGCTTTCCCAGCGGGGTTTGTTCCCCCCTTTGTCCATCATTCCCTCCTTTGTCCATCGTTCCCCCCTTTGTCCGTCCTTCCCCGCTACCTGCAGCCGCACTCGTCCACCACCATGTCCTCGTAGTGCCGCAGCACCACGTTGTCGCTGTTGTCGTAGTAGAGGATGGAGATGGGGGAGAGCCTGACGGGCACGCAGCAGGGCTGGGGGGTGCCCTGCGGGTCCAGCGAGTGCACCATGGTCTGCAGCACGGCGTGGTTGGTGCTGTTCAGCTCGGCCGCCAGCGGGAAGGGACAGTCCCCGCGGCAGTAGTTGGCCAGGTAGCCCTGCGGGGCGATGATCCAGTTCTCCCAGCCCACGTCGCTGAAGCTGATGTAGAGCCGGCGGGGCTTGCACAGGGGGCTGGGGGTCACCGGGGGGCTCGGGGCGCTCCTCCTCCTGCGGCCAGCCTGGCACTGCCGGCCCAGCGTCACCAGCAGCAGCGAGGTGGCCGCGAAGGCGTCGGTGCTGGCGCAGAGGCTCCGCGGGGTCCCGGCGTGCCCGGCCCGGCCGCTCAGCGAGATCTCCAGCACGAAGGACAAATTCCTGCCCGGCAGCTCGCCGTCCTTCAGCGCCGCGCTCAGGTTGAACAGGAGGGATTTGCGCAGCTGGACGAACGAGCGCTCCAGCAGCGGCCGCCGGCCGGGCTGGGGCTGCCCCCGGGGGGACACCGGGTACAGCCGGAGCTCCAAAACCTGCCCGGAGCTCGGGCCGTGGTAGGAGTTGTGGTGGAACTGGAGCTCCAGCTGGGCCATAGTCAGGCGCTCGCCCTCCTCGAGCGCGGAGAGGTTGAAGAACAGGAGCTTCCGCAGGCACAGCCAGCCCTGGGGCTGCCCCGCGGGGAGGAAGCGGCCTGGCAAAGGAGAAACAGGGGTGGGGGCGGCTGAACGCGGGGGCTGGGCAGGATCGGCTCCTGGGATGGGCTGGGGGAACCCTCGGGATGAGCAGGATCAGCTCCAGGGATGGGGGAACCCTCGGGGTGAGCAGGATCAGCTCCTGGGATGGGCTCGGGGAACCCTCGGGATGAGCAGGATCAGCTCCCGGGATGGGCTGGGGCTGAGCAGGATCGGGAAAAAGAGGGTGAACGGCAGCGAATCTGGGGAGCCTGGTTCAACCAGCCCGAGCCAAATTGGAACCACGAGAGAAAAGAGCTCTGGAGTGCCTTGAAACTTCAGAGACACCAATCAAACAGTCCCCAGGGGACTGAGAACGGCTCGGAGCAGCCAGATGTGCCCTGGGGTCAGCCAGATGTGCCCTGGGGTCAGCCAGAGGCGCTGGGACAATGAGGAGGGGGGGAGGCAGCCCCGGGGGTCGATCCCATCCCTGCCCGAGCTGCTGCTGATCCCGTTCCTGCAGCCACATTCCACTCTCCTCCAGCACCGTGGACCCCAAAGCCTGGGATCAGGACTGGGATCAGGGCTGGGATCTGGGCTGGGATCTGGGCTGGGAACAAGCCAGCACCTCGGGAGGGATTTAGGGGGCTCCAGAGCCTGGCACAGCTGCCCCCCTCACGCCCCGCCTCGGGGTTCCAAACCCATAAACCATCACCGGCAGCATCCACAGGGACTCCAGCCCGCAGGGATTTCTCCTGGGATCCAGCTCCGGCCTCGGGACACGGGGAAGGAAGGAAGGAGCGGAGCCAAGGCTCGAGCCCGGGGAAGCCCAAAGGCGGCGTGGCTGTACCTTGGTCCGCGAAGACTCGGACGATGTTCCCGGGGACATTAAACTCCTCCACCCTACAGGAGTCCGGCTCTCCCTCCGGCCATGGCAGCGTCTTCCTCTTCTGGAAGATCCTCCAGAGCACGGGCGGCACCGGCACGGGGCTTTTGGGGCTGGGCCTGGCGCTCAGACCCAGCGATTTTAGCAGGGAGCTCTCCTGCGGGCTCAGCTCGGTGGCCAGGACGGGGCTCAGGAGAGCCCAGGCGAGGCTGCGGAGGAGCCACATCGCTGCTCTGCTCGCCCAGACAAAGAACAGCCCGGGCCGGGCACCCGCGGGGGTTGGGTCCCTGCTCGGAGCCTTTGATGGGCTCGGAGCTCAATCAGCACCGCGGGATTCCCGGCTCTGGGTGGGATCCTGCGGCTCCCGGCACCCCTTAACCCTTTCAGGGGCTCCGCCGTCTCTCCGGCACCTCCAGAGCGGCCGCTCGGGCTCCAGCACGGTCCGGGGGCTCAGGGGTGAGGATGGGAACCCAGCGCTGCTCCCAAAAGCGCTGCCCGGAGCTGGGGACAGGCCCGGAGCCGGGTCTTCCTTCCCAAAAAATCCCTTTTTTAACTCAATGTGGGCTCAGGGGTGAGGATGGGAACCCAGCGCTGCTCCCAGAAGCGCTGCCCGGAGCTGGGGGCAGACCCGGAGCCGGCTCTTCCTTCCCAAAAAATCCCTTTTTTAACTCAATCACGGTGTCCAGCACTCCTCTCTTAAAGCCATCGACCTCCAGCACATCCAACCATCCAAGTCCTGCTTCACACAGCCCCAAAAACCATCGGCCCCCAAAACCATTGGCCCCAAAACCACCGGTCCCCACCCAGCGCCGGGTCCTGCCCCAGCCAGGCACCCCCAGGTCCCCTCGTGGCCATCACAGCAGAGCTGCCACTGCCACCTCGATGTCACAGCCCCCAAAGGCAGCTGGAGCCACCCAGCTCAATGCCAGCACTGGAAAATTCAGTTTTATCCCCCCAAAGTCACCCCAGCTCTGCTCCGGCCCATGCTGGGGGATCAGTTCCCTTCCTGCCCTGCAAATCCCATAGGAAAACAAGGAATTCCAGCATTGGGGTGCTCCTCTGACACCCTGGAAGTCACGGGGAGGGACAAGGTCCTGCCACAGCTTGGGGACATTCCCACCAGCCCCATTCGGGGTCTGTCCCTGGCTCAGACACAACCAGTCTGGAGGGGAATCACTGTGAGAGACCAAACATGGAAAATCCCACAAATTCCCACCTGGAATTGATGCCCTGGATCCCCCTCTGGCTGTGGGGGAGGGAGCTGAGGGTCCTGGCCTGGGAGGGGACAGTGAGGGGACAACAGGGACCCAAACCCACAGAGCTGCCCAGGGCAGGGACCTGGAGCCTGCAGGGCTGGAGCTGCCTGGAAATCCATCCCAGGAGTAGGAATTCTCTGTTCTTCCTAAAAACCCAGCCCTGGGAGCAGGAATTCTCTGTTCTTCCCAAAAACCCAGCCCTGGGAGCAGGAATTCTCTGTTCTTCCTTCAGCAAGGGGACAGCCCTGGGGAGAATCCCCCAGCAGGGACCTGCAGGACCCTTTTTAAGCCGCTCCAAAACCTACACGGGTTTTTTCCAAGGAAATTGAAGCTCCTGGGCCTCCTCCAGAGGGCTGGGCTGGAGCTCCTGAGGTGGATTTCCAGGCAGTGGGAGCTGCAGGTGACAGTGACTCCTCCAAGGTCACCTCTGCAGTCCCTGGGTGGCAGCTGGAGCACAGCTGGAGCACAGCTGGCCTCGGGGTCCCCTTCCCGGGGCAGGACAGGAGCTGCCCTGCCCAGGCTGGAGCTGGACCCTGCAGGAGCAGCTGGGGAGGGCTCAGAGGGAGGGTCCAGGGGGTGTCACAGCGGGGCTGAGAACGTGGAGCAACACCAGGGACACAAAGCCAGCCCCTGATCCCACCTGGGCCAGCACAGCCACCAGTCTCCCAGCCAAACTGGGCCACAGGGAGCCCCCCCAGCCCCAGGGGACAGGTGACAGGGCACAGCCCAGCCCCGAGGGGCCCTGTCCTGGCAGTGGCGTGTCCTCCCCGGCTCCGGGCAGGGCTGGCAGGGGGCAGGGGTGAAGTCCTCCTCGGGCCTGTCCTTGGCAGGGTCCCAGAGCAGGGTCCTGGGCAGTGCCAGGCCCTGGCAGCCGTGGCCACGCCGCCCTCACAACCTCTTGTCCTTCACGAGGCCGTTCTTGAGGTGCAGCCTGGGGAAGAGCAGAGCCCGGGGTCAGCCCCGTGCCCACAGCAAATCCCTCCCTAGTGCCCTGCTGGGGACACTCCTGTCCCCAGATTTGTGCAGTTTGATGGATCCAGCACGAGGGAGAAGCTCCAGGGAGAGCTCAGAGCCCTTGGGGCTCCAGGAGAGCTGGAGAGGGACTGGGGACAAGGCCTGGAGGGACAGGACACAGGGAGTGGATTTAAACTGGAAAAAGGGAGATTTGGGTGGGATCTTGGGAAGGGATTCCTGGCTGGGAGGGTGGGGAGGGAATTCCCAGAGCAGCTGTGGCTGCCCCTGGATCCCTGGAAGTGCCCAAGGCCAGATCCCAGGATCATGGGAAGTGTCCCAGGGGTGGAGCTGGATGTGCTTTAGGGTTTTCTGACCCAAACCAGTCTGGAACTCCACGTACCCTTCCTTCAGAGCCTGGGGCAGCTGGATCCCAGCCTCCTTCCCGGGTTTCCTGCTCTCCTCCACGTCGTACTCACGGACATCGTTCACCTCCTGCATCTGCCCCAGCAGCACCTTGGCCACGAACAGCACGATGTACTGGGGGGCACAGGGGGACAGGGACCCTCAGGCACGGCCCGAGCCGGGGGAGACCTTTCCCTGCTGCCCCCACCCCATTTCGGGCAGGGCAGCTCCCCCCGGGATGGTCACAGCCCCGGGATGGGGTGGAACTCCACTGGTTTCATCCCAGGGATGATGGAATCACAGCTCCTTGCCCTGCCCCACGGATCTCCGCTCTCCAGCCCTCCCTGGGGCGTGCAGGAGCATTCCCAGAGCGTTCACACCTCTCTCCAATCCCCTTTCTGGGGGGCAGGAGCACTCCCAGAGCGTTCACGCCTCTCTCCAATCCCCTTTCTGGGGGGCAGGAGCATTCCCAGAGCATTCACACCTCTCTCAAACCCCGGCTGCTGTTATCACTCCCCGCGGGGTGTCAGACAGTCTGAATTCCCCCCAGCCTTCCCCCCTCCCCTGACCCCCCAAACCTCCTCCATCGCTGCCATGCCAGCAGCAGCAACCTTAAACACCTCCCTGCTGTCCCCAAGGGGAGGGGACACCTCCCTGCTGTCCCCAAGCCCAGTTTGGGCAGAGCAGCTCCCTGAGGGGCGGCCACCAGCCCGGGATCACCCACCAGGAACCAGTAGATGTTCATCAGGGTGAGAACCAGCAGCAGGGCGTTGAAGAAGAAGTAGAAGGGGATGTTGGGGACGGACTGGAGGCTGGAGTGGCAGGTGGCGTAGAGCACCTTGAGGGGGAACCAGTAGAGACGGAACCAGAACCTGCCAGGGACAGGGACAGCCTGGGTCAGTGTCCCCCTGGCAGAGGACAGAGCCAGCACAGCCTGCTGGCCCCTGGACCCCAATTCCTGCTCCTGGGAAAGGGACAGAGCCAGCACAGCCTGTCCCATCCATCCATCCATCCATCCATCTCTTTGTTTTCCAGGATTAGCTGGATTTTGGGACAGCCCTGCCTCCCTTTTCCTGCCGAGAAAAGAGCTCCTTGCTCCTCCTCCTCCTGCTCCTCCTCCTCCTCCTCCCCCCGTGCCACAGGAATTTCACAGGCACTCGCTGGTGACAGACCCGGCACTACAGAGGGATTCCGAGCCCAGCAGGAGCTCGGCCCCTTCCCAGCCAAAATCCCCCAGGAGATGCTGGGAAGTCCCAAAACCGGGAGGAGAGAGGGGACTGGGATCAGGGGGACAAAAATCCGCCAAAGAGGGACAGGATTGGGATCAGGGAGGGTCAGGAGTGGGGTGAGGAACACAAATCCAGCAGGGAGGAGGGTCGGGATTGGGATCAGGGACACAGACACACCAGGGAGGGTTGGGTTTGGGATCAGGGACACAAATCCAGCAGGGAGTACGGTCAGGATTGGGATGGGGACACAGACACACCAGGGAGGGCTGGGATTAGGATCAGGGGACCCAAATCCACCAGGGAAGGTCAGGATTTGGATCAGGGACACAAATCCAGCAGGGAGGAAGGTCAGGATTGGGATGAGGAGACTCAAACCCACAGGGAAGGTCTGGATTGGGATCAGGGACCCAGACCCACAGGAAAGGTCAGGATTGGGATCAGGGACCCAGACCCACCAGGGAAGGTCCGGATTGGGATGAGGGACACAAATCCAGCAGGGAGGAAGGTCAGGATTGGGATCAGGGACTCAGACCCACCAGGGAAGGTCAGGATTGGGATGAGGGACACAAATCCAGCAGGGAGGAAGGTCAGGATTGGGATGAGGGACCCAGACCCACCAGCTGACGCTGAAGGCCAGGCAGCCGATGTTGGAGACGACGTCGTTGAGGCGGTGGTAGACCCCGCCGCGGTGCTTGAAGTACACGTTGAGCTTGGTGAACTCCAGCTGCACGTCGTTGACGTCGTGCAGGAACAGCACCAGCACGCCCACGTTGTGGTACCTGGGGGGAACAGCGGGGAAATGCGGGAAAACTGCGGGGAAATGGGGAAAAATGGGGAAAAAATGCAGGGGAATGGGGAAAAACCATGGGGAAAAATGGGGTAAATGGGAAAAAAATGGGGAAAAACCATGGGGAAATGGGGTAAATGGGAAAAACCATGGGGAAATGGGGAAAAACTGCGGGGAAATGGGGAAAACCAAAGGGAAATTGGGAAAAACTGTGGGGAAATGGGGAAAACTGCGGAGAAATGGGACAAATCATGGGGAAATGGGGAAAAATGGGGAAATGAAATGGGGAAAAACCATGGGGAAATGGGACAAATCATGGGGAAATGGAGAAAAACTGTGGAGAAATGGGGGAAAGCCACGGGGGAAATGGGGTAAAACAATGGGGAACATGGGGAAAAATGGGGAAATGAAATGGGGAAAAACCATGGGGAAATGGGGAAAATGAGGAAAAATGGGAAAAGCGGGGGAAATGAAGGCATAGGAGGAGGCAAGGAGGGAGGGTCAGGCTTATCTGAAGGGAGGGAGGGTCAGGCTCACCTGAAGGGCAGGAGGAGGAAGGAGGGAGGGTCAGGCTCACCTGAAGGGAGGGAGGGAGGGAGATCAGGCTCACCTGAAGGGAAGGAGGGAGGGTCAGGCTCACCTGAAGGGCGGGAGGAGGCAGGAGGGAGGGTCAGGCTCACCCGAAGGGAGGGAGGGAGGCCAGGCTCACCTGAAGGCGTAGGAGGAGGCCAGCAGGGTCAGGGTGACCAGGTGGTGCAGCAGCATCACCAGCGAGTCCTTGCGCCACGTGTCCATGTAGGCCGTGGCGTAGAGCGAGTGCCCGTAGAAGCTGCCCTGCAGCAGGTACGCCACGGCGATGTCCCCGGGCACCTCCATGCCCCGCTGCCAGCCTGCAGCCAGCCCGGGGGGTTGTGACCGCGAAAATAAACACAGAAATAAAATCAAAATTAAAAATAAAATGTAAATTAAAATATCCTCGTCATAGTTGTTATTGTTATTGTTAATAATTTATTATTTGTTTTACAATTATGTATTATTTAACATCAATAATAATAACAATCATCATCATAATATGGATTATTATAGAAATATTATAGAAATATTTTCTATAATATTATTATAGAAATATTATTATTAAAATTAAAATGAGGAGATTTTTAAACCCTGACTTGAGCAGGGTTGGAATGAGGAGATTTTTAAACCCTGACTTGAGCAGGGTTGGAGTGAGGAGATTTTTCAGCCTGACTTGCTGCCCCTGCCCATGGCCATGAGCTGATCTTCATGATCCTCCTCAGCCCAACCCATTCCATGATTTAATTGTCCATGATTTAATTATCCATTATTTCATTGTTTCCTGATTCACTCAGCCTCTCCAGCAGCCACCAAGTGACTGAAAGAAGGGAACGCCCAGACACCCCCTCGTGCCCTTTCTGCACCCAGATCAGGATAAAAAAAAGGGAATTTAGGGGCTGGCTCTGCCATCCTCACCGTAGAAGACAGAGGGGGGGTCGTGGAAGAAGGGGTAGTCGGTGCAGAAGAGCAGGTAGGCGCCGTAGGACCACGACAAGGAGTAGAAAAGCAACTTCCAGGCACTCTCGGGCATCTTGGCAGCATCTTTGGGCTGCAGCTTGCACCACTCCCCGAAGGGCTGCGAGCGAAAGGGGGAATTTCGTCAGCGGAATTTCATCCCAGGGTGGTGCCAGCCAGGCTCGGGTCCCCGAGTGAGGCTGGGGAAGGGGAAATCGGGAGGGTGGAGACCCTCCGGGAGCTGTGAAAGGGGAGCCGGAGCATCCTCCCTCTCCCCGGAGTATCCCCGGAGCATCCCTGAAGCATCCTCTCCCGCCCCGGAGCATCCTCCCCCTCTCAGGAGCAAGGCATCCCTCCCCGAGGCATCCCCGGAGTATCCCCGGAGCATCCCTGAAGCATCCTCCCCCTCCCCGGAGTATCCCCGGAGCATCCCCGGAGCATCCCTGAAGCATCCTCTCCCGCCCCGGAGCATCCTCCCCCTCTCAGGAGCATCCTCCCCCTCCCCGAGGCATCCC